GTTTAACCCACACAGTTCCATCTATGCTTAATCCTATTATATACTCTTTAAAAACAGAAGAYGTGATAAATGCTGTTAAGAAGCTGTGTAAAAGAAACAAACTAAACAGTACAGTTACAAAGTGGTGAAGTTTTATGTTATAGGTAATTTGCTGTGTTGTGTTACTATAAAAAGAAATATGTTTTAGATCTAGAACCATTTTTCAAATTGAAGGAATTTCTCATTTTCAAACCCATTCTGCTCTAATAGGCATAATATGCTGTCCTGGAAGTCTGAGCTCAATGTTTATAGTTTGAAAATAATAAACATTTGATGAAATTCAAAMAATCTTATCCTGTTTGAAGCGAAAGGTAGACATGATGAAGAGTTTCCAACCTTTACTGTAAGTCAGGATTTTAAATGGGAGAATTTTGTCAATTGCATCTTACATCGTGTTCAGTTGACATTTATTTGTTGGATATTCTGTCTTCTGTGCATCGAGTACATCTCACAGGTTGGAACACAGTCACAAATAAATTCTTGTCCTGCTTAATTCATGTCATTGTGTTCGTCTTTGATTTGTTGTGTGGAACAACGTGCAAAAAAAGTTATTCAGTTATAATGTGAACTCCTTAAATAAATGTTGCATCTGGTTGTAGTTTCCAGTTCATTTCTGCTCAAGTATCTTCCTCGGTGTGAAGTCAAAAACGATGATTTCACATCATTACGGGATGCAGTGGTGGGCACAGTCCTCCTAAAGCACTAATAGGGGAACTAATTTCCTGATTAGTGATTTYGGGCTTTTGCTAATTTTAAAATTTATTAGTGGATTAGCCATTGCTAAATTTATAGGCTAAATTTAAAAGCACTAACTGAGGTCTATAAAGGTTTTTGATCAATGTTAATGTTAACAGCTGAGGGTGAAAGCTGATTCACATTTTGTTCATATGTGTGTCACATCCACCAGGTGACAWTATARTGAAAATATACAAACCCAAAATACAGCTGTTGAACATAAATGATTAGTCATTAGAGAGCAGCATGGCAATATGTGACTCYTGTTCTCTGTTGAAGAGTGTTCATGGGTTGACTGGGTCATTAGTGCTTTAGAATTAGCTTTTGCTAAAACTTTCAGTGTGTTAGTGCTTTATAATTAGGGGACCTAAATATTTGAATTAGTGTTTTAGGGCTAGTAAAACTAATTTTTAGATTAGTGCTGCCCACCACTGATATGATGCATCTTCCCTATAATTAAAACTTAGATTATTTATTATTTATATTTGTTAGAACATGTCTTTCACACATCGGTGGCACTGAGGTGAGACAAGGTGAGCCTGTGATCAGAAGGTTGCCAGTTCAACTCCCTGAACCAATAACAAAAGCTTTCTTGGTGAAACCCATTTGCCCAAATTGCCCTAACTGCTGGGTGGGCTAGGTTAGCAGAGGGCTAACTGTTAGGCAGGAAGGGTTAATGGAGAAAATATGGAAAAATAATTTCCGCACTGAGGCACAATAAAATCTTTTGTTTGTTTGTTAATTTTTTTATATTAATGACATTTAATTAAAACATGGTGCATATTTTTTGTTACCAAATAGACAAGAAACCAGAATATTTATGTTAATGACTCACTCTGACACTTTAATTATCTGATTTCATTAAAAAAGACTGCATAAATTCAGTATTTCATTAAAAGCTTCAATTTGCAACAAAATTAATTTATTCCAAATTTGTGTTTGAATTAATTAAATCTGTTTAATAATAAAAAGGATATGTTTAACATCCAGTTTAGACTGGTGGTGATTTCAGTTTTTCAGCATTGGCCTCATAAAATCTAACGAGGCTGCATTAATAAATTAAACCACTAGAGGTCAGGCTTACATTACACATACAGTACCTCTCTGCCTTTTAGACATATCACTTATTCTAACTGACTTGATAAAGTAAAAACACAGTCTTTGTTAGTTTCAACATAAAAAATAAACATTTATGTTACAGTTTAAAAAACGACTGTATTTTATTAGCAAATTGGAGTTTGCTCCTGAAATGCACTTCAGTTTATTTTTGTGACATGTTTAACAATCATTTTAAAACTACATTAAAAATATCCCATTCTTTGTCTCAAGATATATTTAAATGACACCACAAATACCTGGATATGGGGTTCTTTCTGAAGCAAAAACTACAGCTGTGCAAATTATGTCAAGAAAATATACAAACTAATTTTTTTCATTTGTTTTACTGCTGTTACTTTTCATATTAGTCCACTCTTTTCTTTGAGTAAAAAAAATCTTGAATGTCTTTTCAGAAATTCATGTCCATGATGGACAAACTGAGAACATAAATATATATTCCTCAAACTTGATTAACTTTGGCTTTTTTTTTTTTTTTTTTTGGCTGTTTCTTCTTTCTAAGTCATCCTCACTCCAACTCCATGTTCTCTAACTGCATCCACATTTCTCTTCTTTGGCCTTTCACTTTATATATTTACACTTTCAAATATTCCATTCAATTTAAAAAGATTGTTTTATTAACAGGTTATCTATCTAAAGCTATCTGGCATCACAGATTATGAATATTTACATGCAGGGTTTAAAACTGTAAAGGAAAGCAATGAATTTATGGTTGTTGTAAGTACATAGTTATTTATTCAGACAGCACATTTCAACACAAAAGTTACTGAACATTTCACATTAAGAGTTCTCGAAATCAAACAAGTTTTACAAAACATTTTTTCTTAAGTTTTGRTGGAACTCAAAAAATAATTTGATGTTGTATCTTTACATCCAGAAGACAAAAAAAATTGTGTATTTCTGAATGATGTTCAAAGATTAACTAAACTCTTTTTGGACCTAGACAGGGTTACAAGGAGTGCAGACAAGCTTTAATTAGCAGATAAAAGTTCACAAACTCTTATATAAACAGCGAAAACCAAGTTTAATTTCAGGCTGAATTATATGAAAAATCTAAAATAGATGATTTATGGTTTACAGCCCGGTTATTATTTTTTAATGTTGTGATGGTTCAGGTCTTTAAAACCACATTAATTTTCAWTGATTACTGATAAAACAGATTACTGCACCTTCAAGTTATCGCTCTTATCTTAAGTCTCCAAGGATTGATCTGAATTTTGTCGACGTGCATGTTTTTTCTGAACATGGCCATTACTCGAACTTTGATCTCTTTGGTTTTCAGAGAATACACGATAGGATTAACGCAAGGTGGGATGCAAGAGGCCAGCGACAGGCTGAGGACCCGGTGGTCCGGGTTAACCGCTCCCGAATAAAAGCCGACAGTGAAAATAACCAGAAGAGGGATGTAAAATATAGAAACAACGATAATGTGCTCGACACAGGTGGCCAAGGCTTTTACTCGACGGTCCAACGACTTCATCTTGAACACGGTCACCAGGATGCTGATGTAAGAGAGGAGGATGAAGGTCAGAGGCCCTARAAGGAGCAACAGAGAGAGGAAAGAGGATATAGTCCACTGCAGCGTGTAGTCGTTGCAGGCAAGTCGAAACACGGGGGCGTAGTCACAAAAATAACTCAACACTCGGATGGATTTGCAAAAAGACAGTTGTGTCATTGTACTCGTTGAATATGCATCTACTCCCATATTAAAACACCAGGAGACACCGACGATACAAAACATGCTCCGRAGCGTGTTGATTGAGCTTTGTCGTAAAGGAAAACAAATGGCAATCAAACGGTCATAAGCAAGTATAGTGAGTGCTAACGACTCCAATCCTGCAAACACATAATATATATACATTTGTACCATACACATGTCATATGGAATGAAGTTATCCTTAATGAGAAAGATCTTTATCATGCTGGGAATGACACATGTGCTAAGGATTAAATCAATAACTGCCAGGTTGACGATAGCCAGGAACTTCGGGGTGTGTAGACAATGATTAACAACAACCGTAAAGATCAGCAGACTGTTAAACAGCACAGTGAACACGTAAACAACTGCCAGGAAGATGAAGTACGCGGATATGAACGGAAATGACTCAAATCCAGCGATGTAGAAGCCTGGAGGGTGAATGATGACTGAGCTGTTTATCAGAGTCCTGAGAAAAGACATGACTGAGTTCCACAATTTCTGCTGGAAGGTGGTCTTCTGCTTTGCAGCCCCTCCAGCCTGAACAAAAACAACCCATAGGTGTCAGTGAGAAACACAACTGCAACGTTCACAAGCGGTTTAGCTCGTGCACGTACTAAAACGTAGACAAAAGGCTCACCTCGTGCTCCGTGTTGAGCGGAAGCTCTCTCGGACGCTTCTTCTAAAATCAGCCGGCAGACGGCCACAAAAATACTTTTTTCCAGCTCATCCCACGAGATAAAGTCAACAACAGACATTTGTTATTTCCACTAATTTGGTCCACAGAGAGAAAAACTGAGGGAAACTTTAACAAACTTTTCTTGTGCTCGAAAACAAACGTATTTATCTGAATCTTCATCTCGCAGATCTGAGCAGCTTGTAGCATGAAGATTATTTTAATAACAGGAAATTGAGTGATTTGCTTCTTAAAAGGGAGTTAAGATCATTTCTGGACCTGAAGCCTGATGATGTACAACTTTTTCCTAAAACGTATCCTTAATTGCTTCAAATAAGTTTCTGTTATCATCAAAGGTTGCTGCAACAAACACAGTTATGTTTTATCATTTTGTTTGTATGTTTTGACAATAGTTTGCTAAAAAAATATGTTTGCTGTTCATAACTGTGATCCTACTAGGCCTCTGCCCTTAAGTCTTGTTGCTTAAGTTAGAGAACTGATCTGATAGATGTGAGGCTATGCAGTGGTGTCAGTTGTAAGGCTTTGTTGTCAGTTTGTTCATAACAAAGCTCACAGACCTCCAAAAGTAGTTTTAGAAAATAAACAAAGCTATTTATTAGAGAAAAATAAACGTATTTGTATTTGTTACACAGAAGTACAAGTAAGGTGACCACCCTAAATCCAGATGTCAAAACAATTCTAGATACATGATTTCTTTTTCTGAACAAAAAAATGTTTACCAGAGAAGTTGTTAAAAAGGGATCCCCGATTAGTTGTAACATTAGACTTTAAATGATAAACATATATTTTAACTGTAAAATAAAGACTGTAAAAATGCTGTAGGATGTTCAGTTTTTATAATTTTTAAACTAAAAGTTTAAAAATATATAACACTATCACGAGCGCTTCACATTCTCCTCTCGT